TACTGAACAAACTAATAGGCAATGGGGTATATGCTACAGGGAGAGTTGAGAGATTGGGGCAATCTGTCAGGTTAGTCATGGGTGACCAGGAAGAATACTATCTGGTAGAATTTCAAAATAAGGACAAATTTCTCCAAACCTTAATTGCTAAATTACATGTCATATTCAGTTTAAAATGTAGAACTTGGGCCTCTCTGGTGGCCTAGGGGTTACGTCTCAGTGCTATACCACTAAGGCCTGAATTTGATCCCTGGCAAGGTAGCTAATCCATATATGGCACAGCAGACAGCTCTTGACCCGCCAACTGCTCCCCTCAGCAGTGTATTTCAGTAGATACCCCCAACCTGCTCCCTACACTGTCTCTGATGAATCTTCTCACCCCTCTACCCCCACACCTCTGGCCCACATCCCAATTCTTTTTAGCGAAAAAAAAAAAAAAAAAGTAGAACTTTCTCCCTGCTAAGATTTATATAAGATTATATATATATTTGACCATGAAATGTTTCCAATATTCATTTATTAGATGATTTGAGAACAGTTGTTATGAATTGTTAATTAATTCCAGGATTTTTCTCCCTTAACAGTGAACACACATGAATTTTCACAAAATTATCATGAGTTTTGCATCTATCTGTCAAGGGGATAGACCTTTAAGTACAGAAATCTACTTAACTTCTTTTGGGCATTCCAGTCTCTCAGGTAAATATACATTTTATAAGCCTATTCAACAAGCATTTTTTTTTTATTAAGCAAATCAATCAGCCCTAGTCATAACCTCTTGCTCCAACATTATGTTTAAGCAATATTAAAATTTTGAGAGATGTGAGAGTGTATCTTTTACAGGATATGTCAAACCTGTAAGATTATCTTTTATTCTTATCAAAAGTAGGCCAAAAGTTGCAGTCAGCAGAACTATATATTTATTTGAACATATATGTCAATTTATTACAATGATAAGCTTTTGGTATTTTCATTTTTTCAGAGATGATCTTTTATTTCAAAAATATTACCTTCTGGGCCCTCTCTAGTGGCACAGCGGGTTAAAGCACAGCACTAAGAAGCTGAGGCCACTTCCTCATGAGTTTGACCCCCACCCCAGAGGTGACCACATAGCGCAGCAGACCTCTCCTGACCTGCCCATTGCTCTCCTCAGCAGTGTACCTCAACGACCTGCCTGTTCTGCTCCCCACTCTGTCTCTGGTAAATCCTCTCACCGCCCCTGTACCTCTAGCCTTTACCCCAGTTCTATATACACAAATAAATAACTCTTAAAAAAAAATTATTCCCTTCCTCAGCATTGTGTTATTAAGATATTCAAGTTATTTTGTGACATTTTCTAAAGAGAAAAACTTTTTGGCGTGTGGGAGCACATTTGCTACACTTATTGTTTACAAATATCTATTATTTAAGTATTTTTGTTTTCAAAGTAGATGTCAATGTCAGTGGTTTATCTTAGAAATTAAATCTTAGCTTTATTTGGATTTCAATTTCATCAGCTTTTCTGCTAAAATCCTTTTTTTGTGCTTTCAAATTCAGTCCAATTACATACTTTGCATTTTGTGTTCATGCTTCAATGTCTTTTAATTTGAAAAAATTTAGTATGGATTTTTTTTTGGCTTGAAAATTTAGTTATTTATATTGTAATACATCTGGTATTCCTACCTCTCCCAGTTGTGTGAGTTACAACTGACACATAACATTGTAATAAGTTAAGGTATAAGACATAATGTATATATTGCAAGTGTTTACAGTTTTGCTAGCATCCATCAGCTCACATAATTACACTTTTTTTCTTGTGATGAGAACTTTTATCAGTGAGTGGTTTGTCTTGATTTAAATTAAGTTCACCAGGAAAATTAGTTTGTCTATGGTTATTCAGATTGTAAAATATTATCAAGACTCTTAGTTTTATTTTTCCTTTTTACAAATCTGTCCATTTAAACCACTGAAGATGGTATCTTATCACAAAGTGATGGATGAGATTTTTCCATATGAAATTTGACAGTTGACAGGTCAAAAACACAGGACTGCATTAGTATCTATAGTAATGATCTAAAAGGAAGTAATGAAAACAAAATGAGAACAATGCATATGTTTAAGCAAAAACTAGAATTGGCTATTAATGACAGTGGGAGGGAAACAAGGAAAACAATTTCATTTGTTTTAGAAATTTCACTTTATTTTTTACATATGGTAAGTATTAAGGTGTTTGTAAAGTCTACTGAAACTCGATTTTAAATATTACTGGGAGATGTCAAGTAGTTAAGTCATGCCCAGAATACCTCAACCTATACACTGATGTGAAGGATTTGACAACATTCAGAGAAGCATTTAACTAGAAGGTGGAAAGGTAAATGGGGTCTATTCATTCATTCAATTGCTTATTCAATAATCCTATTGAGCTTATATATGGGCAAGGCACTGTTCTGGAAGTTAGTGATATGAGTTGCAAAGATGCCAGTAAACAGAAAAACACAGAATTATGCTATAAGGGTAATAGAGAAAAACAAAGCAGAAATGAAGGATAAGGAATCTGGAGGTAGGGAAATCTGCTTTTTTTACATTAGGGTACCCAGGGGTGATCTCTCTAACAAGGGAATACTCAGCAAAGACATCAGAAGGAGATGAGGAAGTGTCATTGTGGATCTGGGTTATGTTTAAAAACATAGCCTCCTGCTGAAAACAGATTACAGTATTGTGAGAGTAGATGAGCCCTAAGTAAGCCAAAGATATCTTCATAGAGGGAGGAGCAACAGTTAAAGATTAAAAAAAGAGAGAGAGAGAGTGGAGTATTGACTTAGAAGCAGCCATGGCAAGTGAGGAAGACGTTGAGCCTACTACTGAATTTAGAGGAAAGTGGGTCAATAAAGAATGAGACGCAAACATTTGAGAGAGGTGTTAAGTTATTATTTTCTGTGGAGGGTCAGATTTTGAGACACACTGAAAGCATGTATGCAAAGAGTTCCAGTATGCAAAGAGTTCTGACTAAAGAGTTCCAGTAACCTAGGACCAGAAAGACTGCTAAGGTGAGTCCCCGTGAAGAGCTTCTGGGGTGCTGGAAGAATTACGAGCCTTTTCTGAAGGAGTCAGTGGAGACCAAGTTTAATGAGGCACCAAGGGCAAAGGTGGACAGCCTAGAAACAGATGTTTACCATGTCATACTCATGTGCCCTAAAGCCCCCTACCAACCCCCAACAACAACAAAAAAACTAAAAGCTCAATAGTAGAACCTGGGTATTTAGGTGAAAGGGTGCTGCGGTCTCTGAAGTCAGTCACAGCCCAACCTGATCTTAAAAACTTATATTCACTGTGGTTATTAATCCTCAAGGCCATTTTAGATAAAGAGTTTAACATACATTAGAGGCCAAAATTAAGAAGTTAAGCAGAATTAACTATAGATTTAATTCATAACTGATTATAAGACCTTTTACATATCATTCTTAACTACTCTGTACTACAGCTCTTATTTTAAAGAAACTGCTTGTGACAATGTCCAAGCCCCTTCTGTTATCACAGGCAAATAAGATCACATTTTATAAGTGCTCTTGGAGAAAAAGGAGTAAAAAATGTGCTATTAAACACAACTGCCAAGCTAGAAAATCCTGGCAAGAAAATTTATATAAATATATTGAAAAAAATAAGCCCGAAGTACGTTGGGATAAAATGACCACTTCTATTTTTATACCTACCCTGGAGAATCATATTCAGTGTCACTAGGTAAGCAATACAAATAAAACAGCAATATATTTTCTCCTTAAATCTTAAAAAGTTAATTATAATTACAGTCTTAAGAATACTTTTAAATACCGCTGTTATACACTGGTATAATCTTTTAGAAGAGTTCTGAATGCAGATATACATATACATATTGTTTAATCACACCATTCCATTTAGAATTAACTGAAATACTCTTACATGTATACCTGTACCTGTACCATTGTTTTCTTAAAAATAATAGGTAGTACTATGGTGATGGCACACGGGTGGTTTGGTGATGGAAAGCCCATGGGGATTACAACTGAGATGGAAAAAGGCACAAAATGATGTAAAAATAAGTTATTATATTATTTATTAAAAAAAGGAAGTAATACAAGTCTACATGTACTGGTAGAGAACTGGCTGGGTAAATTCATACATTACATAAGCCAAGAAAAGTTAGCCAATAGAAAGGAAGATCTTTCTAGACACGTTCACAAAGAATTCAGTGGGAAAAGTAATCAAATTACAGGACAGTCTGTAGGACAATGACCCTACTGTCATCTGTCTAAAAAAGACTGAAAAAAAAATGACAATCAATAACTGCTTAGTGAAAGATTATCAAGACACTTGATATAATTAAAATCAGAAAAATTTGTGATTTGTTTCATGTCTTCAGGAAATACAAAGGGAAATGGCTTCTACTTATTTTTTTTTTTTTTTAAAGATATTTGTAGTAAGTACATATATACAGGTATCTGGTCTTTGAAATTTTGCTTCAACCTCACAGATATTTACAATATGATTCAAAATGATGTCCCTAAAAAACAATGAGCTAAAATGTAACATGCTACAAGTACTTGAGATGTCTTCAAAATTATTTTTTTTTGTTTTTCAATTTAAAACAACTAAGATAAGCAGATTTAAAGTAGTGGTAGTTTGTCCATTTTGACAAAGCCAAGAGGCATCAATAAACAGGATCAAATCAGGCTTCACATAGACCTTTGCAGGTAACTGCTAAGTGTGTATACATTGTCATCAAAATATGCATAACTACATTAAAACTTTACTACATGTAACTTTTACAAACCTCTTTATTTTGAACCTTTACTCAGCAAGCACATTAACCAAGACAGGCTAGCATGGGTTCCTGTATTTGTTGATGCAGCCTGTTAACAAACCATTCAGCCTAAGTCACTGCATACACTACAGTGTACATATTCTTTTAGGCAGGCTGACTGAGAGTTACAAATCAGCACACTGACCCCAAAGCCTGACAAATTAGTTAAATGCAGGATACTCACATCGGCATAGTGGCCGATCATATCACATCGGTCACATCGTTTCCGCCAGGAAGATCTTTCAAGACATCTGTGAGTAGACGACATAGGCAAGGAACAGTCTAAGCAAAAGCGGGCCGGACAGGCATACTGGAAGTGTCCTCTCTCGGAGCAGAGGCAGCAGGGGCGAACTTTCTATATGGCAGACAAACAGAAAATCTATTCATCAAGATACTCAGTCTCAAATAGTAGAAAGTCAATTTTACTTTTTCTCTGTAAGTCCATAAAAACTTATTTCCAATTTGAGATCCCAAAGAAAGTCAAGTATTATACATTATTATAAAATCAAACAAAATGTCCAAATCAGATCTTTAACACTGTTGTCTGTATCTTCCGGATGCTAAGAGGTTTAGTCTGCAAATGCTATCAGATGGCATCTCTTTCTTATGTCTTGTGTTGTAGGAACACCGAGTTAGTTATGTGTCTAAGAGGGAAAGCAGGAGGATGAGGAGTTGAAAATTAAGTGACAAAAGGAACAGATACAGAAAGAGGCTGCTTTACCTGAAGAAACAAAAACAATGTGGGAACACAGAGTTGTCTCAACTATTTGAAAGAGAGTAAGTTGGAGAAGGCTCTAGGCAATGGAAGAAATATTTTTTAAGGACTTACTAACAAATGTCTAAGAGTTTGAGTTCTGTGTTGCTATGAATTTGATGTAGCTGTTTAAAATAATTTAATTCAATGAAATGAATTGAATGAAAATAATCCCACAACAAAACAAACTGTCTCATTAAGTAGAAAATTTAGAAGTGAAAGGGGTCTCAGGTTGTACTATCTGATTCAATCTCATTTTATAGACAAGAGCAGAGGCACAGAAGGTGAAATGATTTAGCTAAGGTCACACAACTAGTAATGGGAAGCTGAAATTGGTTCCAAGTTTTTCTGATGCTAAATTTATTGTCCTTTCCCCTACTCTAGGCTGTGACCTAAAAGAAGTTTGTCATATATATTACATGCAATTTGAATTTTAAGGTCATAGCATTACAAACAAAGGTTTTGTTTGTAACAATATTGGGAAGAAATAATACATATGTCACATACTTGTGGAAAGGGGCAGTTTTTTGACAAATGGCCGCATTTGTCACAATTCCTACAGGTAACATTTTTGTTAGCTGAATAGTATCGGTGGGTCCATCTTCCAGATGATCTCTTATTACCTATCTGTGCCTAAAAGGGGAAACAAAAACAAAACAAAATAAGAATCAAAACATTATTTTACTCTGTTTTATTTGTTTTACAAAAACCATTTAGTTTTTGTTTAAAAGACAGCTACTAGTTGGGAATGGAAACTAGTACAACCACTATGGAAAACTGGAGGTTTCTCAAACTACTAAAAATGGAGCTTCTATATGACCCAGCAAGTCCACTCCAAGTCCTAGGTATCTACCCAAAAGACACAAAAACACTGATTCAAGAAGACACCAGCAGCCCCAGGTTTATTGCTGCTTTATTTACAACAGGAAAGACATAGAATCAACCCAAATATCCAAAAGTAGGTGACTGATTAAAAAGATGTGGTACATATACACAATGTAATATTACTCAGCAACCAAAAAAGATAAACACATGCCTTTTGCAGCAACATGGATGGAGCTGGAAGGGATCATGCTTAGTGAAATAAGCCAGAAAGAAAAGGAAAAATACCAATGGTTTCACTCACAGCAGTATAAAGGACCAGGAGAGAAAATAATAATAATAATGAACAATATAAATCAGAGACATTTACCGGTGTGGAGTGGGGAATGGGATCAAAAATGTGAGGGGGGGGGAATACATTGAGCTATGGTGATGGCACATGGGTGATTTCCTGATGGGAAGCCCATGGGGATCACAACTGAGATGGAAAAAGGCACAAAATGATGTAAAAATAAACTATTACATTATTAAAAAAAAAAAAAAAGGCAGCTACCAGAAAGTAAAAAAAATCACACCTCAATAAAGCAAGTAACTACAATCATTTGTTTAATATAGAAGCCAGCAGCAGGGATGTCTGTGTTCTCTTGAAAGAAGTTAGAGGAACTTAAAGGGGGTACCATGAAGACACCTAAATTTTATCTGCTCTTCCCCCCATTTCTCCGTAAGGTTCCATATTTTATCTTTCTCTACTGCTTCCAGAGTAGTAGGGCACTGACACCCACCACTTAGACATTCTGGTGGCATTCAGAGTCAAAAATATTGCTGATGTCTACATTTGAATTTGTACCATATTTTTCTGAGTGAAAAATTTGCTTACACTTTTGGCTAGTTTTTTATGATTTTGTTTTTATTAAGTTGTAAAACTCAATAATTGAGTATGTTCCTTCTACTGAACAGCCTAGGGTTACTATCTACAAACTAAGTCACAATTTCTAAGAGAGAATGAGATCATTAATAAATACATAAATCAAAGATCACTGTCTACACAGTAACCCAATTCTAGCTGTGCTATATTCTAGTCAAAATCTAGTAGCTTGCAAGAGAATATTAGAAGAGTACATCATATAGAATATATAAAGAGGCATATGTAAATGCTAGCCATGCTCTTATCGTGTTTGGCAGAATTCCATCTTTGAGTTTTTATCTTTTACTTTTATTCTGTTGAGTAGGCTGGAGGGGCCCCAAGTAGATACAATCCAATGATCTCTGAAAATTTTTCTTCTACCAAGTTGTAAAATTATTCTTTTTTAGCCATCTGCCACAATAAAGGCTAATAATTGACCAACAGCTGCCACGTCCTAAATATAGACTAACCATTTCCTTACACTACAGAAGCAGTTCTTTCCGGTGTTGATCTTTAGTGGTGTCAGGCAATCTGACCTGAGAACATTCACCACAGAAGAGGAGAAACAGAAGAAAAGGAGACTAAATCATGACAGCATTACCGTACTGACAAAAATCAAGGCAGAACTAAAGTAATAAAAAATTCAATCACATATTAAAATAAAATTTTTCTTACAATATGCTGGGAGCACAGCTATCCTTCATAAGTTTATTACATTATCTTAATAAAGAAAAAGACAATTGATGAATCAAAGGAAATTATTGACCTATAATTCATAATTTCAGAAGTTTGATTTTTACCTCAACATCTTTGTCACTGATGAACCAGTTCACATCACCTTCTCCTACAAAACAGATAAAAATATTACTTAATTTTGATAGCTGTCAATCACTTATAGATTGGCAATAAATTAGTACTGAAATTGGACCCTAAAATTATAATGAGAAATGTAAATCCCCAAAACTCATTATAGCTTCATTATTACTCATGTGAATAAATACTTAACCTCAGTTTCTTTATCTGTAAAGTGGGAATATTATTTGCCCTGTCTACCTAAAAGTTGCTATGAGTATCAAATAAGACATGGCAAAAGGCTTTGAAATTTATCAAATTATCAACAAACAAACAAATCTGTGAAGGCACCAAAAACCCAACAGCAGGTACAGGAAGAAAAACAGAGCTATGTGAGAGTCACTTGCTAAAGGTCCTCCGCACCCCCCAATACCCCAGGTCTGCTGTCAGGAGGGTGACTTAACTTTGGTATTAGGACATTTGAAAAAAACACTGTAACTGAGCATTCATCAGAAACTTTCTTTTTCAAAGTCCTAAATCCTCCCTTTTAAGTTGGCATACAAACCTTTATCTTTGGCCATTTAGTGAGCTGAGTTACTCATTACAGACTACTCCCACACTTTAGCTTTTCTGCTGTCAATCTCTACTGTTAATTCACAAGCACCCACTTTAGGCCACAAGTAGGTAAAGGTTCTCCCATCCACTAACAGAACTGTGTTTACTAGCTTCATACTGTAGTTGACTTTCATTATAATATTAAAAGAACTGGGACTCTGAATACTGTCTCACTAGTAAGGCTGGGAATTCAGCACTGTATTTTATAACACCAAAAATAGTGAAACAGCAAAAAAAGGAGACCAAATATCTAAAAGTCATTGATTCATCTAAAAATACAACTGTGAAGACCCGGGAAAGGGGGAATTGTGTTTTTCTTTATCAGCTGTTTATTTCTCTTTGCACTGTCCCCTTACAAACTTGCAAATGGTTGTTATTCCTTTGGTCCACCCCAGAGCCCAGGAGGAAGGGACATACGTGCAGAAGCTAAGGTGTCAACAAAGGACTGAAAGATTTTTTTCTTCCCCCAAAGCAAAGTTCAGATTTCCTCCATCCTCATATCTACTCTTCTTCTCTATCTCAAAAACACAAATCAAGCTTGGTTCTTTTCTTTGAAAGGAATTTTGAAGAGACATGAAGTAATCTACATTTTCCCAGGCCTACCAGGACTAAGTGTCTAGAGATATATTTTAAAATAAAATAGATTTACTAAGAAAACCAAAAAGCTGCTTCACAAAAAGGCTGATCCATAGGAAAGCAGAGATGCTGTGCTGATGATTATTTCCTTTGCAAAATTTGGAGGCTGCATCCATATATTAAGAGTGGAGAATACATTAAATAGCAGCAGCTTCTATTCCTTCATCATCACCAAACCACACTATTCTTCTATCATTCAAAGGATTCATCTAAGGAGCATGCTTTGCTGTGACTTCCAAAGCTGCTATCTGTAGCTCAATGTCCATTAACAATATTCAAAATGACCACTTAAAACCACCTTAATTATAACATTGACTCAAATAGTGTCCTTAAAAAAAAAAAAGCTCAAACCAGTAAAATGCAAAATAGAACTGTTCCCACTTCAAATCTCCAACAAATTTATACAACAGAAAACAGTGAAAGAACAGGTAAGATTTTGACAGAGGTTAAGTGACACAATTTTAACATTTCTGTAGAATTAAAAAATATTCTAGTTTATGTACAAACTCCTCTTCAACAAGCTACAGCATATTCTTAGTATAGAGAATTTATCACAGGTATACAAAATAGGTTTCAATTACAGAAGAAAATTATACTACTCAAATGGTAAATGAAGTCAAGACATCAACCAGGAATATACAAGTCAATTTTGGGGGCTCTTTCCTTGGCTCCAATTTGGACTCAATCCTAGTAAGGGAAGCTAATTTCTTACCTTTGTTCTTTTGCTTCTTACCCCCAAATCCTAACCTAATGGTAGTTTTGTTTAAAAACAACTTACTAGAACATTTTACAGGGAGCCAATCTGCCACTCTGCACTGGGTATGAAACTTATACAAGCTTGTATTTTCTCTTAACCTTGTCTTAATTTGCTGTGTGGTGTTGGATAGTGATTTACCCTCCCTGGGTCTATATAATAAGTTAGATCAATGGTATCCATGACTTTTGAGCACTAAATTTCTGGGTTTTTCTCCACTTTTTTCATTGCTGGAATCAAATACATTGTCACTTAAATCTATGTTACCTAAATCCTCCACTTTTTTGTAACTAACACAGGTTGTCCTGCCTTAATGACAATTTTTTACAGGGTGCAGGAGACCTCATCTTCCATATAGTCACTATCCAATACCATGCAATAGAAAATAGGATTGTCATTAACATTAGGGCTGCCTGAAAGAGAAATACTATCAACTCTTAGCTGTTTATGGATCTGTTGCTAATATGCAGAGCTATGATTCTTTTCAGATTTTAGAATTTTAATCAAAGCAAAGCAAACCAAACAGATAATTCTTTTGTATTAACTCAATTTTAAATGATTTGAGCAGTCATAATAAGCAAGGTGCTGTAGGGTAAACAAAGATAGAAGCTTATAACCTAGTCAACACGAGAAGGTAAATGAAAAAGTACAGTAAGGGAAGACTAAACAAAATGCTATGGCAAATTTAGAGGAAGAACAGATGACGTTTGAATTTAAGGGAGAAAGGGGAGACACAAGATTGTGCCATCAAGGAAACTCTGATGAACTACAATTTATATATTATAAAATATAACCCAATGGAAAATGCAATATGATGCATGTGGACAAATGTACTCATCACACCTGTGTAACTACCACAAAAATCAAATGTAGAACATTTCCATCAACTAAAATGTCACCTTGTATACATGTGCAGTCAATTCTTGACCCTAAGAAACCACTGATTTGCTTTCTGTCACAACAGATTGATTTTGCATGTTCTAGAACTGCACATAAACAGAAATCATATTTATGTATCATTTTATGTCTGGCTTCGCCACTCTGAATATTTATAAGATTCATTCATTTTACTGGGTAGAAGTATTTGTTCCTTTCTTATTGCTGAATAGTATTCCACTGAATATAACAAACAACTTACAGGGTATACAATTTGTTTAGCTACTTATGTCCTGATGAACATTTAAGTTGTTTCCAGTTTTGGACAATTATAAAGAAGCAACAGTCTTGTGAAAGTCTTTCTTTATAATTAATGTAAGTTTTCCTTTCTCCTAGGAAAGTACCTAGAAATAGAACTACTAAATAAATAAGGATATCTTTATCTTTACCATTATATGAAACCAGCAAGTTATTCCAAAGTGCTTCCCAGCAGTAATGTATGAGAGTTCAACTGCTTCACAATCTCACCAATACCTGGAATTGACAGTCTTTTAAATTTCAGTCTCACATGGCTGTGAAGCAGTATTGTGTCAGGATTGAGTGCATTACTCTGATGACTAATGATGCTGCACATCTTGTTATGTATTTATTTGCCATTCATGTATCTTTCCAAAACTATATGCATTTTTGGCCTATTTTTAAATAGGCCAGATATTTCTTTTGGGGGGAGCGGAAGGGTAGCCTGTCATGTTGCTACTGAATTGTAAGAGTTCCTCATATATTCTAGATAGAAATCTTTTATTGTACATGTGATGGCAAATATTTGGGTTTTTTTTTTTGGAAGCTTGTTTTTCATTTATTTTTTAACAGTGTTGTCAGAAGAGCAGGAGCTTAAATATATTTAATAACTTTTCCTTCCATAGTTAATGCTTTCTGTGCCTGAAGACATTTGCTTATGCAAGATTACAAGTATTTCCCACTACAATTTGCTAGTTTTAGCTGTGTAAGTGTACGTCCAGAGAAGCCTTGACTGTTATTTAGCCCTACAACCAAGATGTATCTATGGGCCTTACAGGATCCCATTTGAGGTCTTACCATTTGAGCTAGCAAGAACTCATTTACATTCTAGTGATTATTCAGCTTAGAGCCAGCAGGCTTTTGCGTAGGTCTATGCATGTGCCATGAAGATAGGCATGCAGGATCCTTGCTATTCATGGCTATTCTGACCTTTCTCTCTACTATCCTGTCCCACAAATAATCTCCATCTCATTATTTTTAGCCCACAGACACTTAACTTTCTCATCTAGATTACTCTGTCTCTTGGCACAGTGCATTTTCCATTCCACTGTTACTAGAATGTTTTCTACATTAATGTAAACAATGTGAGTATATTCCCTCTGAATGGACCTTCTATGTCAACAGGATAAATGCAATACTCCTTTGTAGGCCACATACCTTTCATTATTTGGCCCTTACCTCTTTCTCTGGCTTCATCTTCCTGATGAAGTTTTGGCTAAGGTCTAAAAACTTCTCCAATGTGGTCCTGTTGTTTTCTGTAGTTATGTCTACCCACGCATTCCTTGGCACAAAAACAACCATGTTTCATCCACTGAGAATTGGGAGTTGGTCTTCAAGGCCCTAATCATGTTTTACTTTATTGTAGACTTCACTGAAGTCTTCTCTCGTCACTCACAAAAGCAGAGATGATCCTCTCAACTCTAATAACTGGGCCCTTACCCATATTCTTTCTTTTTTTATTTTTTAAAGATTTATTTATGCATACAGAACTGGGGTGCAGGGACGGTGAGAGGCTTCACCAGGGACAGAGTGGGGAGCAGAACAGGCCAACTGATGAAGTACACTGCTGAGGGGAGTAGCAGGCGGGCTGGAAGAAGTTTGCCGCACCATGTGGCTCACCTCCAGGGTGGGGATTGAACTAATGCTGAAGTGGTTTTAGCTTCTCAGTGCTGTCCTTTAACCTGCTATGCCACCAGGGAGGGCCCCTTACCCATATTATTTCTATCATAATATCTTGCAAACACCAAAGCATGATTGCTTAGTTACCCAAAGTACTCATGTTTACTGAATGACTGACTTAAATTACATTTTGTCTTTAAATGTCTTTCTGGTGAAACTATTTTTTCCTTCCCTTAGAGTCTAAAAACAACCTATTTTTATCCCTCAGACTACCAGCACAGACTAAACCTTGTTTTAAGAACTATATTAATAAATACTTTATTTCCCTCACTACATTATTCTCTATGGACTAAGACCACTGTGTTTTATTTACCTACCCAGTTCTCGTTACAATGTTTTACTTTGAAAAAAATTAAAAAGGAAACATTTGCATGGATTTTTATGTGAGTAAAGATTGGGCTACATAAGCTGATAGATATTTCAGGGCATGTTATTGTAAATACAAAAGATCAAAAAGACAATTCTCTAAGAAATTCAGAATTTCTGTAGTAAACAACTATAGGAACTAACTCCCCCCCCCCCCAAATAACTGTTTCTGAATAAAGTCACTGACAGACACCAGATCTACATGAAATATAAGATAACTGGACATTTACAGATAATCCTGCCTGTACCTGGCCAGTGTTTCTGGGATAAAGATCACAAGGGTGAAGTCACCAGATATTTATGTTCTATCCTTCCGTGGGTCTACCTCCACTATGCCAGAGATCTCCCCTGGGATAT